GTTAACCTAACATTAACCTAACTTTAACCTAACATCAACCTAACGTTAACCTAAGGTTAACCTAACGTTATCTTCTGTTCATTTCTTGTTTCCTGATTTCATAATTTGATGTTGAAACAGACGAAGGTCCTCACAACATGAGCAACACCTGAACACACACACACACACACACACACCCCGCCCCGTCAATGCGGGGACTCTCTGTCCCTGCGGTCCGGTTCGGTCCATCAGGACACTGTGAGAACATGACGCCGTCATAAATCCCCGTGAACGACCTGCGTTTACCTGCGATGAGCAGAGCTCCGTCCCTGCTGGACTCGGTCCCTCCGGCCTCCAGACCCACGAAGCCGACCTTCAGCTTCTTCTGGTCGGCCTGCGCTCCGGGGAACACCCCGCCGTTCCGGGATTTCTGCACCATGACGGAGAGAATGGCTCCGCACCGACCTGCGATCTAGTGGCTGCCCGCGGACGGAGCACCGAGGCCGGTCAGAGCATCGCTGCAGAGCAGCGGGACGGAGGCAGGCTGCAGATCGGCTGGTCAGCAGATTCTGCTCACAGCCACTTCCCGCACAAAAAGGAAACAGAATGACGTCATCGACTGGCTATTGATCAGAGATGAAGCGCCTCCATCTGTAATCAGCTGATCACATTGATCAGCTCCAGTGAACAAACACACAGATCAAAGCTCTGCAGGACGTTTAATCATTATCACCGCCTCTGACGGTCACCATGGTAACCCGAGAATCTGAGGGTGGTAACCACGGCAACCAGATGGGAGGAGGAGGAGGAGGAGGAGGAGGAGGGGTGAGAGGGACCAGAGGCACAAACAACAATGACATCACACGGTGGGCCGTTTTGATTGGCTCCTTTCGCTCCGTGGTGATGTCAGTCACCAGAGGACCAATCAGATCAACAGACACACTGATGTTTGACACCTTTATTAAACACCACCAGTCAGGTGACACCATCAGTCCCTGACCCCTGTAACAGTGGTACGCCTCCTTCTGATTGGTTTACAGCTACAAGCGATGACAGCCAATTAAGACAACAAGGTTTCCATGACAACAGCTCAGAGGTCATGGAACAGGGCGGAGTAGAAGGCAGGCTCAGAGCGGCGTCCGCGGTACCGATGGATGATGTCATTGATGGCGTGTTTCCGTCGGATGTGAGGTGGGGGGGCGGAGTCACTGTCCAGCCGTCGCCGATGGCAACAGTTGATGACTGTCTCTCTGAGCAGGAAACCTGGAGACAGACAGACGGGTTGATGACAGACAGACAGACAGGCAGACAGACGGGTTGATGACAGACAGACAGACAGGCAGACAGGCTACAGACAGACAGACAGGCAGACACACAGACAGACAGGTTACAGACAGGTTACAGACAGACAGGCAGGCAGACCTACCCAGTGACCTCTTGCTGACTAAACTTCCGCTGACCAATGGGATGACCAGGCTGAACTTGCTGGTGCCGTTTCCATGGAAACAGACTCGGTAGAGTCCAGTTTTCAGTGGATGGATGAAGACCAGCTGGACGTTTGAGGCACTGATGGGCAGAAGGATGGACAGAAGGCCTGTTTGTGTCTGTGAGGGCTTTGAGGAGGCAGAACAGAGCGGCGTGACGGAGCTTTACCTCGTGTCCGTTTGCATCCTGGTCTCTGACAGCAGCTCGCTCAGGGGAAAACGCTCTGAAACACAAAGTGGACATACCAACCACTCGACCTGAGCTCGTCCCATATATGAATCAAACTGGTATTCTGTAATCTGATATCAGAGCAGATGCTCCACTGTTAGAAGTAATCTGATTACTGTGGGGGATACAGAATCCTTTAAGAGATGCTGTACAGGGGTGTTGCTGCAACGTTAGCTAGTGGTATTGAACAGGATCGATACACAGCTTTATGTTAATATTAACGAGTCAGCAATAAAATGTTAATTATTAATAAATGTTTTACCGACGTCCTCAAAGCGTTCAACCCAAACGATCAGCAGCTTACAGCCAGAACCCAGAAACGAAGATGCACAACGCAGCTTCAGGTCTGCAGCTGGACTGGTCTGGACAGAGAGAGAGACAGGTGAGAGGCAGACAGGTGAGAGGCAGACAGGTGAGAGGCAGACAGGTGAGTGACAGACAGGTGAGTGAGTGACAGACAGGTGAGTGAGAGGCAGACAGGTGACAGGCAGGTGAGAGACAGACAGGTGAGTCCGTACGGTGGAACTGGGGGCGGAGTCTGGGCCAAGGTCAGTGTGACTCTGCAGGTTGGACGGTGACTCATTCAGTGGCTCCGCCTCCTCTGAACTCTTCAACCAATCGACGACTTCTAACAAGGAACAATATATTAATGTGTTCACATATTGTTTATCAAAGCACCAAATCGTCACATGACTCCTCGTATGGTCACATGACTTCTTACAGACTTCTCTGTTAATCTTGGAGCTGCTCAGGTGACATATCATCTGAAGTATCGGAGTGTGAACAGTTTGAACTGTTTCGCAACGCTTAAAATACACTCCCATGAACCCAGTGATTGGTTATTGTTGGTGACCTCAGGGTGACATCATCAGACACTGACCACGCGATGGCGATGGGACGATGAAGGTGATCTCTGTCAGAGCGTCGGCAAACATCAGGACAAACCTCTGACCATCGAACACACCCCCTCCGCTGTCCCCCAGCACAGCAGGGAATTCTGGGAGAAACAAAACAACCAATCGCCTTCAGGGACGCCGGCGTGACGCCAGAGTGCCATCGCTGAGCCAATGAGATTACTCACCTGAGCGACTGCTGTTAGCTCCGCCCCACTGCTGCTGCCCTACCTCTGACGGCCAACCGAGAGATGACAGCAAGTCCAGAAAGTGAGACTGGACGTTGCACCGAGACTCCACGTTCCTCAGGATCTAGAGACAGAAAGGCGAGACGGA